ACGTTTTTCCTTCGTTGTTTTTTTTTTCTTTTTTCTAGTATGTTTTTTGTTTACTTTTTACATTTTTGGCTGTTGAAGAGGCTTGGGAGGGGGGGAGCTCTCTTTGCCGGCCCAAATCACCAGTAGGCTGGATCGTGTGACGGATGTTTTTTTTTTGTTTCTCATTTTTCAAGACGTCAATAACAATTCTTTTGTTTTTTTTGAAAGGCATTGTATAACTTTTTTTTTTAATTTAATGGTGGGCGAATCTCTCTTGTTCTCCCTACCAGCACATCTCTACTTGGCATGCCGCCCGCTGCCACGCCTCCTGCTTTCTGCACGTCTGTCTGTCTGCGCGTCAGCTTCCATCGATTTTTTCTTTTTCTTTTTCTATATTTGACAGTGTTGAATTTTTTTTTGTTTTACAAGGTTTTGTTATATATTTTGGTTTAATGTATTCAATGTTCGGTGAGTTGAAGCTGTCTAATCGGGCTCAGCGGTGTTTTGGGAGTCTTAATTATTTTGTGCACGATTTGGAAGCGGCATCAGGCGCTTGTTTGTCGGGAAAGAGTTTGATTACTTTTATGTTTGAGGATGCCGCGTTGGATGGAATTTTTTTACCGCCGTCGTCATTAGTGTCGAGTGTGGTGAAGTGTGCTAAATCGAACTTATGCAACGGATACAGCTATTGCTTTGGGTTTGATGAGACTCGCGAGGCCATTGGAAAGTATTGGAAGATGAACTTTGCGCATTCAATCAAGGTGCAGATCACTGGTGATCATGTTGTTGTTGCGTCGGGCTCCTCCGATGCGTTATCCATGTGTTTCGGATCCTTGTGCAGCTACGGTGATAATATTTTGTTGCCGTTTCCTTCTTCTCAACATTACACTACCAGTTGTTTTTACTACGGTATTGAACCGCGTTTTTATTGTTGCAATCACGAGAAGGATTGTGAGATTGACTTTGATCATTTGCGAAGCCTTGTTGATGGTAAGACGAAGGCGATTTTGGTGAACAATCCCTCTAACCCTTCTGGCAGTAACTTTTCGCGGCAACACATTGCGGAGCTTATCCGTGTGTGTGAGGAACTGCGTCTCCCGCTGATTTCGGATGAGGTCTACGCGGGACTGGTGTTTTCCGGTGAAGCGTTTACCTCCGTGGCGGCATTTGACACACACGTGCCCCGATTTGTTGTCAGTGGGCTCTCGATGCGGTTCAATGTTCCGGGTTATCGTTTTGGGTGGGTGATTGTATTGGATCGTGACGGTTATGGTGCCAAACTACAGGCAGCGGTGCGCTGTCTGGCAACCCGTTCTTTGATGCCTAACTCAGTTTTGCAACATGCAGTCGTGAAGGCCCTTGAGGAAACGCCACAGAGTTACTTTGATGACTGCGCGAGACGTCTAGAGGAGGGGGCCATGGCGCTTTACAACGGTTTGTGCGGGCATCCTGGTTTAAAGCCGGTACGGCCGCGTGGATCGTTGTTTATTTTTATTGTTCTCGTCTTTGGGGAATTGGACAGCAGTATTCAGTCGGACGTTGAGTTTGCCAAGAAACTTGCGGAGGAGGAAAATGTGCATGTACTTCCAGGAGAGTATTTTAATATGCCTGGGGCTCTGCGGATTACAGTCTCGAGACCCTTGCCGATAATAAAGGATGCTGTGGGCCGTATTGGATCGTTCTGTGAGAGACACCGACGAGGCTAATGTGAGGCACTATATATATTCTCAGTGAAATGTGTTTTAAGAGGGATGATGTGAGTGGAAGAGGTTCAGATGGTCCTCCCTGAAATTTGTTGTCTATAATTATCGTAGGTGAGGGGGATGCTTGAGGATCAAGCAGACGCATATATGCACGTGCGCAAACTCTTGCTTCCTTTATTTCATTCTCGATTCATAAAAAAAAAGAAAAACGAGGGTGAAATTCATGTGGAGTTTTTTAATTGGTGGTAGGAAAATTGTGTGTGTGTGTGAGTGTTTTTTTTTTTTTGGGTGCTCAGCTTCGAGGGATGAATATGATGCCCTACAGCGTTCATCCTGCGCGGCTCTGTGACGGTGTGTGTGTTCCTCTGATGCTTCTCCACTGCAGCCTCCTTATGTGGGTAGAAGTTTTTTTTTCCCTACATTCCCGATTGGTGGGGCGCACGTCTTGTACGATAGTGGATGGCGTGCAGGCTATCGAATAATTTTGAGAAGTCACAGGGATTAATAAAAATAAAAAAAAAATATATTTTTTGGGGTTTTTACTTGTTGTTGGGAAACACAGTTTATTTGCGGAGCTTAAATGAATCAGCTTGTGAGGTGGTAGTTGTGGCGGTCCACTCATGGGTGGGGAAGCGCCTCACGGAAAAGTATTTTAATGGATGGCAAAAGTTGCAAGTGCTGTTACCACTGTTTCAAGACGGTTTTCTTTGTTGTCCTTTTTCACTTGGGCGGGGACAGTTCCATAGGAAAGATGCCGTATTGCTAAATATAAATGGGGACAGAGAAGCCTTACTACGAGTCGTGTACCCACAATGGTGATCCCATGGGCGACGTTCTTGAGAAACGGCTCGGCACAACGTGGCTTTGCTCTCCCGCAGATATTTGTGCAAGTGTCAGTAGTAACGGGAGTAAGCGTAGCCATAGTGTTGGCGGTGTGTTTGTGCTGGTGGTAGCGGCCGGAAAGGGCAGCACATCGTTTATATGACTTAGCACCTTTAGTCCTCAGTCATTACACGTTGGGTGTGCACAGACTTACCTGATATGCTGCTGGGGATTTGTTGATGGCTGCAAAAAGACGCTAAAAGATCATGTTGCCTTCGTCAAGCAGCCGTATGCGCTAATCCTCACTTACTTGGAGGCGCGTTGGCTTGGTATTTTCGCTCTGGCGGAGTTCACGCATATAGGCTACAATCTTATTTTTGCTTCCAATAGTTTTCACATTACGCCTTGGCGTGTGTTGTACCCTCATTTAGCGCCTACCGCTTGTTGTGCGACCAGCTGTCCTGTTTGGTGTCTACGGAGCGTTTAACTACAACGGTGCTCATACGTCTGAAAGTAACCGGGGCCTTGATTCTGGTCTTGGGCAGGGTGACTATGAGCGAGGCATCCGAGAAAAGGAAGTGGGGGAGTCCCTCCTGGCGCAGGTAGACTTTAGGCTGGAGGAGGACCACGCAAAGCCAGAGGACGATCGCTGTCTGTGTTTTCGCCGTCATGCACGAGTGCATGTGAAATAAATGGTGGGCATGGGTGTAATGGTGGAGCAACAAGTCGCTGCAGTTTGTTTGTGTCTTTCTGCGTTAGTCCCCGCGTCGCTGTTCGTCGCTATTATCCCGTCCCCTTCATGTGCTACACTTTTTTTTTCCGTTTTCTGTCATGCTTTGCCTCGCCACAACCCTTTTGGTTATATATATATATATGTTATCATTTTTATTTTTGTTGTTGTGTTTGTTTTGTTAGTCTCTATGGGTGGAAGAGAGATGCCGCGCGCTGCGCCAGCATCTGGCGAAGGGGACACTTTTTCATTGCGTGCAGGCAAGACACCCGTGTCGATTCGTCTTGTGCCGACGGTACTGCAGATGGCGCCTCTCCTGCCGCAGCACGCCTTGCAACATAGACGGAAACTGCAACGCCAGCGCCGCGTCGTATGGGACGACAGGCCCGTCGTTTCTCTACGCTTCTATGATGTGCGTCTGGGGCCACGTATTCATACCAAAGTGAGAAGGCAGAAATTTGTTGAGGTGAGGTTTCTTCGCGTTCTGTGGGACCTGCAGAGTACATGTCAGCTGAGTTTTGTCGATCTGACATCCGCAAACAGTTGTTTCACCTTTGTCTAAAAATGATCTGTCTTTCTGTGTCTCTTTTTTTTTTTGAGCGGGTGGGTGGGTTTCAGTGGATGTATCTCTGTTGGATGGGGCGTGCTTTCTTTTGTTCCTTTTCTCAGCCCGTAGTAATGTGTCTCTTTCCATCTTCTTTGCGTTGTTGTGCCCTTATCTTTTTGCCACAGAACACTGAGCTCCCACTTCCTCTCCACACACACGTGCTTACACACACCAAAAACTGCGGCATAGTGGGGAAGAGTGTGTGGAAAATATACTCACGTGTGCCAGTCGTATTTGTTTTGTGTGTTCGTGATTGGGTTTCTTTCCGCAGACTGGCTAGAAGAGCACGATGCGGCATTCAAAAATGCAGTCTCCGACGTCACTGGGAGAGAGTCATGTTAGTAATGGGGTCCACCTTGCAGTCAACAGTTGTGAAAACTGTGATTTTAGATGCGCTGCTCGTGCCACTGGCGACACCACCTCATCTGTGGACTTTGGGAACTCAAGCACACATGCAGCAGAATATTTCTGCCCAGTATTTATCCCGTCTAAGTCACGATATCACAGTGAACGTGGAACCATCTCGCTCCTGATACGGGATATGGTGCCCTTTACGCTCGTTGTGGAGCCAGGGGAGCGCGTGCTGTACGAACAGCTGGTGGATAGGTTGCTGAAGAAGTGGTGGTGGGGTGCGGGGGATGCGGAGGAAGATGGGGCACGGTGGTTGCCCCAGCGTCCAGGGTTCCGACAAATGTCCCGCCTCCAGTCGCAGGCGTTGGTCTCCACGCCGCCCTGCACACCCCCACCCCCAGCTCCACTACCAATACGGCGACAGCGAGATGTAGCAGAGGTGCGGAAACTTGTCAATATTCAGTCGCTGCCATTATCTGATCAAGGCGTGTCTTATGTTCGGAATCACATTCTGACAGAACTTGTTTCGAGAGCGTTGTCAACAACCTCAAGCGTCTTGTTAAACGATCGGGCGGCGCAGTGGTTTTGGGTAATGGATGACGACATTCAACGATTCTACATGGCCTGGAATGGCAAGAACAATGTCATTACTCCACGTCAACTTTTTACTGAGGTCTACAGTCGCATCCAGATGTTACACGGTTCCGCTTGCGAAATGAATGACATTGCCGTATTTTCTTTGGAGTACCCCCGATTTGCTTACAAGTATGGTGATGGCGATTTGGCTTTGAACAGTTACAATAACATTGCCTCGCTTTTTCGTTACGATCTTGTGCCGCCCGACTGCCGCTACCGCTTCCGTATCCGTGAGGACTATGACTACACGTTGCAGCTTATAAGTCATGGGCTAAAGACGGCGCGGTTTCGTAACCTTTCCTTTGAGGTGCCTGGAATGGCAGAGATGGCGGGAGGTATGACGAACTACTACAAGACTCAGAAGGAGGACATCAGACTGCAGAACAAGATGTTTGTCGAGACTTGGCCGGCTGTGGCACAGGAATGCATCAAGGGAAAGGGAGTTCTACAACGGGAAGACATACGCGTCCGGTGGGACCTTCTTCATCCAAAGAAAAACCCTAACCCCAGCGCTACTGTGCACTGCCGCACGCCACTGCAGACGAAGGCGCATAAATCCCTACCCCACAACATCAATGCGGCACACCCAAAGACGAACGAGGGCTGTGGTAAGCCCTTAGGCAGCGCAAAGAAAGGCAAGTTGAAGGCAAAAAGAAGTCGGTCGTCGGATGCGGCGCGGGAAGCGAGAAAAACGGAAGAGGATGTGGAGGAGCAGAAGCTTCGAATGACCTCAATGATGACCACGGGTTTGACTGAGAAAAAACATACGGAGACGAAGGCGTCAAATGTGGAAATCAGGAGACTACCTGGGTGGAAGGGCTACGCCCTCGAACGATGGAGATGTCTTACGGAAGATGAGGCCTTGGGACTGCACTTACATCCCATTCCATCAGAAAGATTGCGTCTTGGGCAAACCGTTGCAGTTGTTCCACCTTTGTTTCATCAAACCCCTTCTGTTGTGGAAGCCGTACTTGTCGACAAGAGCATTGTGCGGAAGCGCCGAGTTAGAAAGACGGAAGGGCCTGGTACCACAGAAGTGAAGAAGGGGTCAGAGGAGGATACCGTTATTGAGTGGAGTGCGGTGGCGCGTGGGCTACCTATCCTATCTGTTACTTGTTGCTATGAAGTACCTGCGGTGGGTGTTGGTGTCGTCGCTGCCGCTGTGGATGCCTTCTTTGAGAGGGAGTTGGAGAAGGAAAAAGAAGCTGTGGGGTAGAGAATGTAACGATGAATGCTGTGGATACGGTAGGTGTCGCTCTCCATAGCAAAGAAACAATCAAAGAATGCTAGGGGCAAGGCATAGATACTTGTGGAGCACGGTATTGTTAATAATAGAGCAACATGGATAATAATAATAAAGGATGTCCTTCGCTTCATTAACCCCGCCGACTCCCTAGGTGCATACGAGACGGTGGCAGGAAATGTGAAGGAATGATTTCTTTGCACAGTAAAGCGAGACACCAGCGTTGGGGTGCGAGGAGCGTCTCTATTGGTTCCGCTTTTTGTTTGTATTATTCTGGGGGTGTTTGGGGGCAGTTATGTATGTTTATTTATATCGATTTTTTTTTACCCCCGCTTTGTACGTGAGGCGGGGAAAGGAGTGTGCGGGAACTAACATGTGTGCAGGGGTGCATTTCCTCAGGGTTCCCTGCGAGATGTTCTTTACTCGGCCATGTGTGCTGCGGTTATGAGGGAAGGAGAGTGAATGGGAGTGTGGCTCTGGGTGCTTCCCAGGTGTCTGTCATTCAGCAGTGGCTCTTACGCACACACAAAAGGATATGGGCGGGGCGGGGTGGGATGGGGTATGGATGCATGCATCTGGCCTCTCCTTTATCTTTCTTTTTTTCTCATCATGTCAGCAATGGGGTGTCTTGTCTCAATTCGTATTTTACTTTCTTCGCTACTCAATGATTAGTTGTGCTTTATAAAAAGCTGCGGACGATACCAAAGCGAAGAATCAGCGTCATCGGATATGTATTTGTGTGTCTTTATCCTATGGGATATGAATGTATTTATTCCTCTTGGCAATGTTTCTAGTGGACAGGCATGGTTAGCCACCATAACCTCCACCTCAGTCACCCATTCTAAATGAAAAATCTTTTTTCTTTTTTTCTCTGTTTTTTTTTTTTAACTTCTCACACGGTAATACGGGAGAAATTTCGCTGTAGATAGCACTGGTTGTCCTCTGCATGTGCTTGTACCGTGTTCTTGTAGCTGTTTTTTTTATTTTGTTTATTTTTGGTTTTGAAAACAAAATGTCGTTCAGGGTGTTGAGTGTGGTAACATAACATTAACATACAACCACACACGCACAAACTCACTTTATATTTGTATGTATTGCGCTCGCGCGCATTCACCATTTCCATCTACATTCATATGCATTTCTATGCTCCATTGGGGTGCATCCGTCAACGCCACGGCATAGGCATCTGCATCCATCCACGCCTTCACCGTAGTTGTTGTTTTGTCACTTCCGGACGTGTCCGGCCAGTCGCACGTAATGCAGCCCTATATGACACAGTTAATTTTTCTTTTTTTTTCTCTTTCCGTTGTTGTTTTTGTTTTTGTTTGCACGCTTTTAAGGTGTTAGGTTCTGTGAATACGAAGATCGTTTTTTTCTTTTTTGTTTGTTTGATTTTTTTTTGACTTTTTTTTCTGCCGGTCTTCAGCAAAAACAAAACACAACAATGTCTGCTGGTGGTCCTGACACACTTCCCCTCAACATCATGCGCAAGCGCACAGCTGAAGAAGTCAACAAAGACGTCAGCGCCACGGCGGATCGCTTTCGTGAGCGCTTTGAGGGAAAAACTGCCTCCGTTAGCGAACGCAAGGCGGAGACGACAACGATGGTGAACGAGTACTACGACCTCGTGACGGACTTTTACGAGTATGGCTGGGGACAACATTTTCACTTTGCCCCGCGCTATTTTGGTGAGTCCTTCTTTGAGTCGATCGCCCGTCACGAGTACTTTTTGGCGTACCAAGGACAGTTCAAGCCGACCGACACGGTGCTCGACTTGGGCTGCGGTGTTGGCGGTCCGGCACGCAACATTGTGCGCTTCACTAACTGCAACGTGATGGGCGTCAACAATAACGAATACCAGATCAGCCGCGCCCGCCGTCACGACACCAAGCACGGTATGAACAGCAAGATCAACTACACCAAGACGGACTTCAGCGAAATGTGTTTTGGTGATAACGAGTTTGACGGTGCCTACGCTGTTGAGGCTACATGCCATGCTTCAGACAAGGTGAAGTGCTTTAAGGAGGTATACCGTGTCATCAAGCCTGGAAGTTACTTTGTCCTGTACGAGTGGTGTGTTACGGACAAGTATGATCCAAACAATGAGGAGCATCGTCGTATTATTCACCAGATTGAGCTTGGTGACAGCCTTCCCGAACTGGAGACTGCGCAGCAGGTGCTTCGGGCGCTGGAGGCATCTGGCTTCACTGTAGAGGACAGCTTCGATGTGGCGGAGCGCTTTGAGTCAAGCCCGATCAAAAACACGGCATGGTACGCACCGCTGCAAGGGAGCTACACGACACTGACAGGCTTCAAGTCCACCCCGGTGGGTCGCTGGATCACAAACAAAATGTGCCATGTGTTGGAGTTTGTTGGCCTTGCGCCGCGAGGCACATATAAGACGACTGAGATTCTTGAGGAGGCCGTAAAGGGTCTCGTGCTAGGAGGCGAGATGGGCATTTTCACCCCGTCCTTCTTTGTGAAGGCGCGGAAGCCGCTCCCTGGTGAGAAACAAAATAAGTAGAAGCATACGAAGGCAATGAATTTGATCGGTGCATGACAACATAGAAAAGCCTGGGGATGTGAGAGTGATATGCGTGCGTAAAATGAAAGATTGCGTTCTGTTTGTGGGAGGAGTGGTAAATAGAAACTTCTTGTATGAGATCGGGGAATGAGGCAGCCAGGCAAGCTAACAAGTAGAGGAAAATATACGAGAAGGAAGTAAGGAAGGGGGTGGGAAAGAGGAAGGAAAAAAAGAAGGTCCAGGATAATATAAAGAAAGAGCCTTGCTACTGGTAAGGAGCGGCGCACGTATGTGAGCACGCAAGCAGGAAAGCGTAGGTGCAATTTGTGCGGAGAGGCCAGGGAGGGTAAATGTTGAGAAACACCCTTGGTTTTTCTGTTGGCCACTGCGCTGCTCAGTGTTATCTCCGGCCGCCAAAGTGTCTTCCTTTGACCTTTTTTTTTTTTTTGGCTATCGTGGCCAACACCGGACCCCATTGCGATATTTCCCCGCCCATCCGCCTTTCGTCCCTGTTCTTCCCTCCTTCCCGGGCATGTGTGTGCGACCTCTCGGGTGGTAAGGAGGCCATGAATGGTGGCGGAAACACCATTTAAACAAAATGTACTACAAGGAATAAAAAGGGAGCGGAGGAGGGAAAAAAAAGTGGTCCAGGAATCAGAAGACGTGTAGAGGAGTGTTGGTGTTTTATATTGTTCTTTGTGGAGATTTTTTTTTGTTGTTGTTGTTTTTTGTTTTTTAGGGCAAAGAAGGGAAAATAGGGGACAAAAAAGGGGGTTATTTCTACTCAATAAGCGGAAGAATATTTAGTTTGTGCTTTTCTGCGTGGATGGAGGGGTCAGAAGCGAAAAAAAAAGGTTTTCTAAGAGGAGAGGAAAAAAAAACACACACACACACAATTTCTTTTTTTCACAATAAAATATACGTGTGCATCTGTGGATATATGTGCACCCATTTTGTTGTTTACGTGCGATTGTGTGTGAGAGGGCGAAGAAGCAGATGGTGATCGGGGCGGTACCAATAAATGTGATGTATTTCCACGTACGCAACCTATGCAGCTATGTATGTGTGTGGGTGACTCAAATAAATGGGAAAAGAGCGAGAAGGACTCGCAACTTCTATATAAGTGGAATGAATAATTTATCTCATTGGCTTCGCTAACTACTTTGTTTCCTCTCCTCGCGATTCATTGCTCCCCGTTAAACCACGGTATTATTTTTGACTTTACTGCAGAACACGCAATATATCCATGCATACGTGCATCATATATATTTATATATATATATATATATGATGTTCCCTCCAGGTCAAAAGGATAAACAGAAAACAAGAGAGAACGAAAGATATAAAAATGCTGTTTCTGGTAAACTCTAAGAGGGCTGTGAAGCCGTGTATTTGTTTTCCACTATGTATGTGCTGTGCTTTTTTTTTTCTAACATTGTCAAGTCTTTATTGCTTTTTTTTTGTTTTTGTGTTTTTTTGTCTTAAGCACTTCAGTAGTCTACGCGCAGAGAACCTTGGGAGAAGTGGAGTGTAGGCGTTTTTTTTTGTTTTTGTGCGTATTGGTGTCGTTGGCGCAAGAGACGAGGCCCGTCTGACAACCTCCGTAAAGGAAGAAGATATTGGGTGGGGTGTAGTTGTATTATACGGAACTGCACAGTGGTAGAGGAGTGTGTGTTTGAATTAAGCGGGGGAAAAAAAAAGTGGAGGAACTCATAAATGTTGACGCCCCATCAGTTGGATCTTGTAGAGCGCGCCTTTCGCTCGCTGGACACGAAGGGTGATGGCTTGCTCTCCATTGAGGATATCATCCGCGTCTTTGACGTCTCAAGGCACCCGCGAGTGAAGGAGGGAGTCATGGCGCCCTCCGCCGTCAGTGAGATGCTGACATACCAATTTGGTGAGAGTTTGAAAGAGCAAAATGGCGTCACGTTTGACGTCTTCATGCGCTTTCATGAGAGGATGGCTGCGGAGGCCGAGAGCGAGCGTGTTTCCGACCAGGAGGACTTCTTGACTGCCACCATCGAGGGTGTGTGGCGCCTGGGCAACCTGCTCGAGCCCACGTTTATTCGCCCCGTCATTCCCGTTGAAGGGTTCCCCAGCGGCATCTACGCCACGCAGCTTATGTCGCTAGTGTGGCCGGATCCAAGCTCGCCTCCGGGGTCGTACGTGTTGCGTGTGATTCGTGATGTAGTGCAACCCCATTTCTCGCGTGGTGATTTGCCATCACAGCTTTGCGGGTTCTTTGCGTACCCAGCGGAGCTGGCGGGTATGACACTCATTGAGGTCCCCTCACAAATATCAATGCAGCGCTGGCTGGACTTTGTCTGGGAATACGCGGAAGGAAAATATGCGGTGGTGCCAAGTCTGGTATCTGCTCTCGTTGATCTTGAAACCGTCCCAGAGTACCTGCGGGAACTCATTGTTGAACCTGAGACTGTGAAGCAGCTGCCATCAGTACGGTTTATCCCGACACTAAAGGCGTTCAACCCAATGTACAAACGGACGAGTGACGAATACGGCTATGGAGTGCCGGAAGAAGTCAAGCGTATACATCACTGGAAGTTTAAGACGTATGACGGAACGGCGTATGGACTAATTTACCACGGCCGCGTGGAGAAATTCACAAAGATGCTGTACGGTCAGTCGCAGTCTACGGTGGCAAGCGGCGTAAATATTTGAGGTTGGTGTTCAATGCCAGTCAGAAATCATGTTTATTTTTATTGGGATCTTGCAGGCACTATATCGCAGATGCACACGACTACCCTCATTCCGAACGAGGACAAGAAAGAGCGAGGCTTGTGCCTACCACTGGCACATGTATTATTATTATTATTGCTTTGGTGTGTATCTCCCTTTTTTTTTGGGTTCCTCTTTTACCTTCTCTTTGTTTTTGTGAGTGTGTGCGACGCTTTCCAGTGGACTCTCTTTCTGTTTCTTTTTATGGTGTAAACGTAAAACTGTACGATTTTTGTTTTGGAAAGAGTTTGGGAAGGAAGGTGTGGGAATGAATGAGGACGCGAAGGAATTACTACACTGGATCCGTAAATGGGGCCCTATCAATAACAGTCTTCTTCACTTGGCCAATAACTCCCATGTACTATACCCGTTTGCAGTTTCTATTAGCAACGGGGGTGCGGTGTCTTCGTCTGCCCCCTCACTGGTTGGGAAACAGAGCAGTGCTGCTGTAATAGGACAAGGGGGAGCTGAAGGGGGCGTGAGGGAGGCGGCGGAAGCTGCTGCAGAGGGGGTCGCAGCTGCCTTTACCGAGGCGACAGACAGTAGCAACATAGTGGTGATGTACGCGCTTGTGTATGATATGCTTTCTACTTTTGGAAAAGTGGGGTTTTGGTCGAACGTTGTCATTTTAGAGCAGCTGCTTGCTTCGTCAGTTTCTGCGTGGGTGATGCGGTTGTGTGCGAGCAGCGGCGATCGTCTCCATGCGTGTCCGGCACCATTGATTGAAGAGCTGAAGCCGCGGTGGATCTGGTGGGAATCCCGTGAATTGAGCGAGGTTTGGGAAGAGGCGTTGGAAACCAACAGCAGGCCGTGGATAACGCTAACGGGGGTAACTATGGTGGATGCAGAGGCGGGTAAAAAGCGCACTCAGGTGCGATCAGTCACAGTGACGTCAGACACTGTGACGCATGAGAGGAAGCGGCTGCATGAAGACGACGGTGCGGAATGCAACCCGAAAACAAAGACCCACATAGAGGTGGAGACAAAAAAGTGGGAAGCAGAAGCAGAGGAAATATTAGCTCTACATAGTCTTGTCACTTTTGCCTTACACTATCATCGAATGCGGTGGATTCTGCGGGTTGTATTTTTGCGCGTGGATGTTGAGATGAACGACATCGCGTGGCACATTATGCGAAGCTGTGTTCTGTCAACACTGAACTACAACAGTGCCATGATACAGACTGTCTTGCACCGCACCTTTGAGCATTGTGTGAATAACCCTCAGGGTCGTGATGGCTCTGCGGCAGCGGAACTTTCTCAGGCAGTTGCACAGGAGTGCTTTGATGCCGTTTCCTCACCCTCAGCGTCATTGGATACATTGAGGTGTTTAAGGGACAGTGATATATTTCTAGTCTGTCGAGTATTATTGATGTTGGATGAGTGTCGTGCGCAGGAGATTACCCGTCTTGTTACTGATCGGGTCGTTCTGTTCAATGAACAGCACGGCTGTGAACTGGCGCACAAGAATTTGAGGCCTTTGTTAGTGTCCAAGGGAACTGGCACATGTGACAAGGCGCCAACGCTTCAGGATGCCTTTGGAGCGTTACAAAACTGCCTGAACGCCTTCATGCGGCTGCGTACCTCCATGATGATCTACTTTGGTGGCAGGGCACATTATGCAGATCAGTTGTCGGTGCTCGGGCGTGATTGTTTTTTACAGGCTGAGCATGCATTTTTTGTTGGCTTTTGTAAAGGCGTTGTTTTTCTTAAATTTGTCGATGCCTGGGCTCTGCCACTCTGGCTGTGTGCATGCAAGGAGGAGCATGATCTGTGGCTGTCATCTACTACTGCCCATGCCGCACGGTGGCACAGCATAAACGAGTTTGCTGAAGACTTAGACGGCTTCACTGGTTGCTGCTCCTACAGTAAGGCGTTTTGGCAGGTGGGTGGGGCAGAACCTAGCAGCAACAGCTACACTACCTGGAATGGTGGCTTGCCGCGGAGGCCGGGGCTTGCGACACTGATCTTCTTTCTTAATCCCGAGCCGAAAGTACTCTCTGAGTTTGAAGCATGTTTTGCGGCAGCTGTGCGTCGATACTTTGAAGAACTTCTGGAGAAGTCGCACACAACTGGAACGTCGCTGCGGGCTCTTCCGCGTGATGTCTATCAGCACTGTGTATTTCTTCTCAGGCTTACAAATCAGCTGTTGGAGCCGTCCGCCTCCGCTGGTTGTGCGGGGGCCCACACAGCACTGCGGGCGGTGCAGAAGGGCATGCAAAACTTCTTTTTGGAACGTGAATCGTGTGTCATAGTCACCTTGGCAAGTGCCCTTCATGAGCAAGTGACGAGGGGGAATTCTCATTGGGGTGCAAGCGATGACGGCGGCACATACCTCGAGGTTCTTGACACCATTCTGGAGCTCGCCTCCCTTCTTCACTCGAAGGATCTTTTTGTGAACTGTTATTGTGGTTTGCTGGCGCCGCGGCTTATGATGTCGCAGCAAATCCTTGACGTTGGATATGGATACTGAAGTTATTTCCCGTCTGGCAATACGCCTGGGTGATTCTCTTGCGGCGGAACCCTTTGCCTTGCTGCGTGATGTTCGTGCTAGTACGACGGCTCCACATTGCATCGCACCAGTTGCAGGGGCAGTGCGACACCATACTGAACTGCTTCGACATGTGAGAGTGCTCTGTAAGGTTCGATGGGAGAAGTATGCTCTCGTTACAGTGAAGCTGTCAGAGATGCAGCGCTGCTTTGATGAAGGAAAGTGGTTTGACGCGAGCATGTTGCACGCGATGCGAACATTTGAGAAACGCTTTGACGGCATTGACAACAGCGCGGTGAGAAACAACTCAAGGCATAATATCTCATCTCATGGGAGTCATGGCTCCGGATTATTTGGGAGCCGTGAGGACTTCGAGCATAGCGATGATGAGGATCACAATGCAGTCAGCCAAGATGATCACGTGTTGGATGCTGCTACTACTAATGCTGCTGGTGCCGGTGCTGGTAGTGGAGGTGCTGAGTTTCGACACGCCTTTTTCCCCGCATCCAGCTCTTTTTCTGGGGCGGGGGGGGTGTTGCAGCAGCGACGGCTCTCGTGGTCACTTGGATGTGGTGTGCTCACTGTGGTGTGTTACGCGGCGAACGTGCATGAACGTGATCCTTCTTCGAGTGTGCAGCTGGTGATGCCGCCTATCGGTTTTTTGCTGTTGCAGGCAGTTGAACGCTATGGTGATTCCTCGACCACGACATCCATGCCTAGCCCTAACAGCTGTACTATGGAATTCCTTCACGGCATACTACCTGTCGAGGTGCCGAAACCGCTCCTTGCAGCTGTTTTGGGTGGCCTGGTGCGACATCGCATTGTGAAGCGGACTGTTCTCGCCAACAACTGCAGCAGTGGTGGTGACACGGGTGGGGTCAGCATGTACAGTCTGCCGGCATCGTTTGCGGGTTGCAAGAAGCGGAAAGTCGTCATTGACGTTGCCAACGCGCTGCATCACTGGGTGCCGTACTTGCAGGATGGGCCTGATGACAGCAAGGCAATCGTCATGACAGTGGATGGCATTCTCGACACGGAACGGCTGAGGAAATTGGAAGCTGCCGTCGTACGCGTTATGAAGGAGAAACACTCGCTTGCGCATTCCGATCTTTTTACTTCAGTCGCAGCACTTCTTGTGACCCATTTTGTGGTCACGGGACCAATGTTTAAGCGTTGCGTGACGCAGCTCATTGAGCGGGAGTTTATTACGAGGCAGGGCCGAGATACTTATGTATACCTCGTCTAAAGGGGCTTTTTTAAATATTTGCACCGTGCACTGAAGTCGGCATACAAATTATTTCCTCCTTTTTTTCTTGGTATATCTTAGTAACTACCATATATGCTAGCGGAGAGATGGTGGAGAGAGAGGAACTGAGTGAATGTTAACATGCTGAACTCTCTTTCATGAAGTTGCATGAAGAAGGAGAGCAAGAACCAAAGCGGAAAAAGTGGGAATTGAAGAGAACAGATACAGAGTTGTTTGTAATGTATGGATTACAAAAGGCGATGCAAATAAGTTGTAGGTACACATATATGTGCCTGTCATTTGATTTGGACTCCTCTTCACCCATTCATACATGCATACGCATGTTCTTGTTTTTATTTTTATACGTCATTGCTGCATGAGTAATGCGAAGTAGTTTGTTGTTTTTGTGTTGTTGGGGAGGAAGATGCGTGGCACTTCTCTGCCTTGCGAAGATGTGCATTGACACTAAACCTTCAGTCCTCTTTTTTTTTAAAAAATCCGTCTTCACTCCACGTGATAGTAGAGCCTACCCCTGTTTCTTCCTCGAAGTATATATGTACTGCAGTGACTGCCAAATGGTAGGGCAGTGAGTAAGCCGAAGTGAGGCGGTAACTGCTATTTGTGATTTTTTTTTTGATTATTGATGGATGGAAAGGTGGGAGGCTGGCGTGGGAAGAGGATTGTCCCGCCACATCTCGTGTGTGCCCCCTCACCCCACCCCACGCGGCGTTCACGAAAGCTCCGCGTTTATCACACCGCACGCATATGCGCCTGTTATTTTCTCCATTTCTCTTTTTTTTTCTGTTTGACTCTCCATTCCCAGTAGGATCAAGCGGAAATAGAACTGAAATACATACATATTTTTTTCGGTGAATTGTATAATTTACACGCGTGACATCGACTGCAAGCACCGTGCCGGGTGGGTGAGTGAGTGAAAGAAAAAGGAAAGGAAAATGTCCAAGGTCCCTCTCACAACATATATTGAGCAATTGAAGGCCTTGGACGGACTCCTTAAGATCAACGGGAAGCCACAACATCTGCACATTGTTGGCGACGAGCTTTACTGGCTTGAAGGGACCGAGCAGACGTTGTACGCCGTCAGTCTCCTGGATAGTGATGCGACTTCAAGGCGTGTCATTGCGTCTCAGGAGGGTGCGGGGGATGCAAGCGCACCCAATACACCTCAACTCAAGTCCAAGGAGGAAGAGTTGCTCCGCGAACGGCTCCGCCGTCATGTGACTGGCATCACTAACTATCACATCACCCCCTCCGATGGTACAGTGTTTTACACCGCTGGTACGAATACTTTTTTGTACCGCCCTTCCATGTCCAGGCATCCTTTAAATATATTTGATTACATCAACGAGGAGACACGTCAGCGCTACTTTGCTGATAAGAAGAAGCCGTTTCTCTGCGTCCAGCACCTTAAACGATTTTCACAGCCTGAGTTTGCCGGGGTGGCTACAGCGCAGTCGCTCAATGTTTTCAGCTTTGTGTACGGAAGCAATGTGTACATTGCGACTGTTGTGGAGCAGAGTGATACGGAGGCAGCTCCCCTCCATGTCGATGTGGAGTGCGTAACCACTTTTGGAGATTCGTTACATGAGTGTGGAACAGCTGATTACATCATGCAAGAAGAGTTTAGTCGCTACACAGGTCACTACGCGACGGAGAAGTATGTTATATTCAGCTACACAGATACATCTATGCTGCAAGACGTCTCCCTCATTGACGGCACTTCCAAATCTGGTGTGGAGAAGATGCCGTACGCCTGGGTTGGAGGCCCCAATGCGCATACGCTGCTTGTGGTGTACGAACGGAAAACGAAATGCTTTCGTGTGGTACCGGAGAAATCCATCGCTGCCGTGGCACCGTGGGCAGAGTACATACCACGCTTTGGATTCAAGGACGCTGATACGATTTACTTCTCCTTGCTCAGCCGGACACAGGAACGGTATTGTGTCTTGTCATGCTGCATAGAGACGCTACCGCTGGTGGACATCACTGAGCTCTCCTCGTTTTTTACCACGGATGCTGCCACGTGTGGTGCAATGGAAACAATGGTCATGTTTAATACCGAGTGGGAAGAGCACATCCCATGGGCGTGGGTGGAGGTGCCGCGGGGTCCCCCAATTCTTTTTGGAGCGACCCATGACATTCTCCTTCGCCACGCCGTCGAAACAGAGACGGCGCATTTCCACTTGTACATTCGGGATCTGACTTCTGACGACAAGAAGTGGCGTGCACTGACACAAGGCAAGTGGAACGTCAAACCTGACAGAATCTCGGTGCTGCAAGACCATGTGGTCTTTATGGCAAACGCAGACAGCAGGCTTGGTAGTCTCCTCTACAGTGTTCCCCTGGGGACTTCCTCCACAGAAGCCGCAACAGCGGCGCAGCTTACCCGATTATCACCACTACACGAACACGTGTACACCTACACAGTGGCGAACGGCTGCGTCTGTTATGTTGCAAGCACGGCGACGACACCACCCGAGCTCTACATCGCCTCGCTGGCGTATCCCGAATCACGGCGTCGAGTTGCAACATATATGCATGGTGACAGAGAGGAAAAACAAGGTGGTGAAAATAAAGATACAGCAGTTTCGTTTCTACGGAATGAAAACCTAATAAAAACAGAACTCGTCACCACCGTCAGCCGACGAGGCGTGCCACTCAGTGGTCGATTGTTCATTTCTCCGGCTGTAATCCCAGGCACACCGGCTCCGCTAGCCATTTACGTCTACGGAGGACCACACGTACAGTTGGTGTACGAACAGGACTACACCATCCTCTGCAAGCCACTTTTTCAGCTGCTGGCAAAGAGCGGCATCTCTGTCTTGGTTGCAGATGGGCAAATGAGCAATGCCAACGGTCTTGTAAACCTTAGCGTCTGCAAGAAGAACATGGGCAACTTTGAAACGTCGGACTATGTGGATTTCGTGAAACACTTAATCGCATCACCACTCCAGCCGAGCGGATTTATTGCCGATCCTTCCAGAATTGCAGTCCTTGGGTGGTCCTACGGTGGGTACGCGACGCTTCTAGCGATGTCACAGGCGCCAGATGTTTTTAAGCTTGGTTTCGCTGGTGCACCAGTGGCTGACTGGACGCTTTATGATACAGGTTACACGGAGCGATACATGGGTGAACTTTACGAGGTTGATGCTTGCGCCGGGGAGAACCCAAAAAGGAACGTCATCAGCAGAGCGTACACGAGGAGTGCAATCAAAGAGTTTGTTACCGGATTTCCAGATGATCTGAATCGCTTGTACATCACCCATGGCTTGCTGGATGAAAACGTTCACTTCGCCCACACCTGTGCACTCATCAACGCCTTGGTTAACGCAGGAAAGCCATTCAGTATTCTTGCCTACCCGGGGGAACGACATGGACTGCGACAAAACAAAATCTCTTCCCATCATCATGAAGCGATGGTAACCAAAACATTAGTGGAAACATTGTGAGCATCCGCCGCTCCCATTGCGCCGATGCACCCAAACGCAACGGCTTCTGACGCAACGTGAGTAAGACAAGAAATCAGCGGTGAGAGGGGGGGGGACATCATTAGGGGTTTGTATCAATATTTATCCATCATAAGCGGATGGTAACCAAAACATTAGTGGGAAGATTGTGAGTATCCGCCGCTCCCATTGCGCCGAGGCACCCAAACGCAACGGCTTCTGACGCAACGTGAGTAAGACAAGAAATCAGCGGTGAGGGGGGGGGGACATCATTAGGGGTTTGTATCAATTATTACACACTGAGCCAATGAACCAACAACTTAGAGATTAATGAATACAAACAACTGCTAATTAAGTGCCCTTACGACATTCGGATTTGCTTTCTCTACCCCCATATGCTAAGTGGTCACTCAATTTTTTTTTACATTTTTTCACTTCACATCATACTCCACATTTTTTTCAACCCAAAAAAAAAAGTCAAATGAAACAATATTACGCGCTGCACTACTCTCCACAGATGTGATGAAATTGCTATGTTACACTATTGGAAGACGAGTCTGATCCTTTGATGCATTGCTGTTATACGGCACTGACCAACGCGGCAGAAGGAGCGGGGACTTGCACCTCTTGTTGTGTCCTGCACTCCTTGACGCACCTCTCCTCTCTTCATGCCCACGCAGACCAGCAGGAAGGAACGTGGCAGGCTGCGGAGGGCTGCAATCCGTCCCTCCTGCGGTTCAACAACATGATCCAAGAGAGCGCGGTACACTGGCAGCAATTGATGACAAATTTCTTATGTAACTCGGGAAATCTGAGTGCACCCATTGACGACCCAACGGAGAACGCGTTAGATAGTAGCGCTGATGCCGCCCACGCCTCTGTGAGGCAGTGCCTACCATCCTCTGTAATAGCGAGCGGACCCTC